CAGCACGGCCCATGGAAATCCCTGTGGCTACGGGGAAGTCTGTGAATGCAAAGCACGAAGGTTCAGGAGCCAGGAGCCGAGCGCGGCTCTTCCCCCCGCTGGATTCCCAGCCGAGCACCGCATCGTGCCTGCTTTTGGGAAGCCTGTGCTGGCTCTGCCCGGCCAAGCCGGGCTGACCCTGCCTGTGTCCCTCTAGGTCTTCAAAGGAAACAGCAGACCCGGCCACCCAGCACCCCACCACTGACCACAGCATCCCGCAGTGAGCAGAATGGGAGCCTCATCCCACCCCAGCAGCCCCTTCCAAACCTCAGGGCTGGGAAAGAGGGACCCGATCCCGCACCCAAGCTCGGGAATGAGCTGTTTGGATGCTGAGTATGAAACTCTTCAGGGTGTAATTTACTCCCGACTCGCAGGTAAGAAGTGAGTTATCTCCTCCTGCTTCCCAAGGAGCTGATGTTCCCGGATCAACAGGCTCCAGCCTCCCCATATCCCCCTGCAGCTGCCTCCTGCCAGGACCAGGCAGGACAACTCCTCTCAAGACGATGATGATGATGATGATGGGAAGGGCTTGAGTCCTCCCTTGCTGGCCTGGTCCTCACTGCTCCATAGAGCCCCTCACATGGATGTGAGATGCAGCATCCCAGGGTTTGGCCAAGGCTGGAGCAGGGCTCATGGATGATGCCCACTTGATCCTGCTCGGAAGGTCTCCACCATAAGGACACGATGGTTTGTGTGGCTGCCTGGCATGTGAGTGGATTTGGGGGGGCTGCTGGTCCCCTCCATGAGCCCCGGGGGTCCCGATGCCCTCCACTTACCCACAGCCCATGGATGGGACTCAACGTCAGCTGCTCTGTTGGATTTCTTGGAAACGATTGGAAAAATGAGGCTGGAGATGTTATGAACACCTCTTTCCCATGGGAAAGGGGGAGTCTGGGGACACTTGGCACTGGTGGAGGGGCGATTCCGGCTTCCAAGCATGAGGTGGAGCTGGGGGGCTGTGGAGATGACGGTGGGATGACGGAAGGGCTTTGGGGCTTCCTGACAATCCCAATAATGGGAATCCAGGGGGAATCTTCCTGGGTTCCACCCTAAGGAACTGGTGCCTGTCCCTGCGCCCTCCACCAGTGGCTGCTCGGCCCCTTTTACATCCATTGGGCAAAAGAGAATCGGGGGGTTCTGCTTGTTACAGCAGGAAAAGGGGGAAATAAAGTGGAACCTGAAGTGATCCATGTGGGAGAAGCGTTGGGAGCCACCCGAGGGCAGCTTCAGTCGCTGCTCAGGCTTTATCACCCACCAGAGAATCTACCAGGAGGCGAGAGCCAGGCTCAGACTCTGCTTTCCTCTGCAATCCCCCACTTGTGGCTGTACAACGGGAGCGGATTCCCCGCTCCGAGAGCCGGGCGCAGCCTTCCCCAGGAGCTGAGGGTGCTTCGGGAAGGGAACCTCCCGCTGCAAAGAGCTCTGGGGTGGCTCCGGCGCCGTGTTGGACGTGGCAAAGGGGAAACCTCCTTTAGAAATGGACATTCTCTTCCCCCCCCAAATCAAATGGGCTCTAGAAGCGAAGGGTAAACACCGCTGGAAGTGGAGGCTCCGGCTTCCAACCCCACCGTGTAATAAAAGGGTAACTGCTCCTTTCTTCCTTCTTTTTTAAGTACCATCGTGGTGAGTCCTGGTTCTTTTTTTCCCTTAAATCCCTAATTTGTCTTATTTCCAAATGAGGAAAATGACAGCTCTAAGGAAGGAACTGTTTGAACCCAGGTCTTGGCTTTTCTTCTCAATGTTCACAGTCATGATGCTGTTATGGGGAGAGAAAAGGTGTTCAAGGTAAGGAGATGGAGCTGGTGATGTTCTGGCCCTTAACACCTTCATGTCCTGGGGGCAAAGCCTCAATAAGCACCAGCAAACCCCATTCCCAAGGGATTGGCCACCCCAGTGCGACACCGGGTGTCCCACAGCATCCAAGGGGGCGTGAGGCCAACAACCCCTCCATCAGCTTGGTGATTTTGGTGACCTGGTACCCATTTTGGAGGTCCCTTGCTCAGTTTACAATGGGGTGGAGGATGCTCATGTGGGACGCATGGGGAAGGCCACAGGGATGTGGCAGAGGATTGTTCCTTGTTGGAGCTGGAGGAGATTCTACCTTGGGCTTCATGGTGGGACTCTTCTGCCTGATGGGAACCTGGTGAGGTCCTACTTGGTGATTTTGGTGACCTGGTACCCATTTTGGAGGTCCCTTGCTCAGTTTACAATGGGGTGGAGGATGCTCATGTGGGACGCATGGGGAAGGCCACAGGGATGTGGCAGAGGATTGTTCCTTGTTGGAGCTGGAGGAGATTCTACCTTGGGCTTCATGGTGGGACTCTTCTGCCTGATGGGAACCTGGTGAGGTCCTAACCAAGCAGTGGGAGCTTTTACCTTCACCCATGGGACCCCCCAGCCTCCCTGCTCAGTGGACACCCCTCTAAGGGATGTTTAGGGGACATGTGGGGACAAGGAGATGCCAAACAAGCACATACTCACATGAACCCCCCATGTCACCACTGCATTGCTTGGTGCTCTCTGGGGGGTTCAAACCACAAGAGCCCAGTTGGGACATGGGGCTGGTGCCTCCCTTGAGCCATTGGCACATCAGCAGTGGGTTTCGGGTCTGGTTTGGGTGACCCACCACATGGGACACAAGGGGTGAATGACTTCTGCTCATGATGGCCTCACCGGGTGCTCCTAACCAGGAGCTGGAGGCTGGGAAGGGGCAGCCCTTGAGTTCATCAATCCCAGCTTGTTTTCCAGAGGAAACCTGGAAGCGAAGTGAGGAACGAGGCTGTTTGCTCAGGTCACGTTCCTCTGCAGCAGCTTCCACCACTGCACCCACAGGTTTCTCCTGGGGCCCAAATTCCTTTGAGGTTGAGCTTTGGGCTTCTTCGGAAGCAAGGACCCACTGGGAGAAATGGGAGTGAGGTTGGGACCAGGCAGGGAAGGGAAACTGAGGCAGGTGGAGGGAAAGGTGGTGGCATCAGACGAGTCACATCATGGGGACCATGGGGATGGAGCACAGGGAAGGGGCCACTGGGGACACCAAGTGCCCCAAGGCTGGAGAAGCAGCAGGTCCTTCCCACCACCCAACCTTGGGTCCCTTCCAACCCAACCCATTCCATGATCCCATGATAACAGGACTCGATTCGAGCTGGAGAAGAGGAGCCCATTGGGGGGCAGGGTGGGCTCAGGGGGTCACTGGACGGGGCTGCCCCTGCTTTAGGGATCACAGAGGGATCAATCAACATTGACCCAGACCCTCAGCTCAGCAGGATGCTGGGAAGGGCTCAAGGCACCTTGGTCACGTCCACACGAAGAGGGGGCTGATCCCAGAACTCCCATGGGAAGAAGAGCAGGGAAGGTTCACATTAGCACACGTCAATTGTATATAGTGCAAATCAGAGCCCCAGCACCAGAGGGGTCCCGCTCTGGTTAGTGGTTAGGATGAGCCCGAGGTGCAGCCCTGGGCACTGCAGACACCCCAGCCCTTGCTCTTCCCCTTGTGCAGGGCCTGGGCGCATCGTCCACAGCTCTCCAAGCCCTTCTTGTGCAGAAGCAGCCCGTGCCCCAGGTCACTGTCCACCTTGTGTCCTGCTTCTCCAAGGCACCACCGCCTGGCCACAAAGGAGCTCTGGGTGCAGTCCCACCCGCAGCACGGCCACAACATCCATCCCAACACCCACCCCCTTCCCCAGGGGTGAGGGAGATCCCAGGAGAAGGCCAGAGGGGTGGAGGCATCTCACACACAACCCCGAGGAGGGGTTCAGGTCCCAAAGGCTGGGGACTGTTTGCAGGCACGGTCCAGGCCCGCAAGGCCACGTCGTGCAGAGGGAGTCTGTGGTTCTCCAGCGGTCCCGAGCAGGAGGACGTCTTCCAGGTGGCTTCAGGAGCATCCTTGGTGGGACTCCTGCAGCCAAAGGTCCAGGCCACTGGGGGCCGGGACTCAGGGAGCGAGGAGGACGTGGTGAACGGGAAGCCAGGAGTGAAGAGCGAGCACTTGGGCTCAGGAGAGTCCAGCCACGTCCTGGAAGCAGGGGAGCAGAGAACGTCACCGCTCCTCACTGGTTCATGGGCTCTTCCTCCTCCATCGGCTCATCTTGTGGCCTGAAATGGAGAAATAGGGGACAGGAGGTGAGGAGGAGACCTGTGTGACACAACAGCAGCAAGGGGCCAGCTTCTGGAGGTACCCAACAAGCCTTGTCAGTGCTTCCTGCTCCACTGAGACCCACAGAGAGGAGGAGAAAAAGGGGGTGGGCTCCTGAAAGGAGGTGACATTCCCCCCCACCTCCATCCTCCAAGGAAGGGAAGAGGATTTGGTCTCATTTTCACCTTGTTTGGGAAGAGCCCAGCACTGAATCTCCCAGAAGCCAGCCCAGGTCCTGCCCATGTGGCTGCAGGGCCTCAACCACCCACTGATGCTGAACGTTGGGGTCCTATCTGCTGGGATGTGGGGGCTGCAGGGTCAGAGCTCTTGGAGGGGAGGTCAGTTATGATGTCTATCTCCCACAGCCTGCTTAAAGCCAGCACTGTCCTGACCTCTCAGAAGCTCACGTGGCTGTAGGACATGGCCCTTCTCTGCTGCCACCCCCATGAGAGCACAGCTTGGACCCAGGGGCACCCACATCTCCCAGGCTCAGCTTAAGAGCATCACCTCTTCTCCACCATCACGGCCACCGAGAGGGAGGCCAAGGCTGTGACTGTCTCCACCTCTTCTGCCTCGTGGTGCTGTGCCTCCAGGAAGGAGCAGCCCAGCTTGGAGGCAAAGCGCTGCGGAGCCACCCAGTATTTACCTGCAGGACAAGCAAAATCAGGGGAAGGGTGGCCCAGGTCTCTGGGCTTCACATGGGGCATCACCCTCCCACCATGATGGAGGGCTCCACTGGGGACTTTCATGCCACACGGCCCCTTGGAGAGGGGGGGAGACGCCAACTCCTGCCCCTTGCACAGAGCCCAGCCCTGGGACACTCACTCTGGACCTGGAGCACCGTTTCCAAGGAGCGCACAGCGTTGGGGTTGGGTTTCTGCCTCATGCTTTCTTCTGGGAGAGGGTCCAGCTGCCCAGTGAAGACACGAGGGGGTCAAGAGGAGGGAGCTATGCCCAGCGCTGGGCTCACAGCACCAGAAGAGCCCCCCAGCCCTCACCTCGTTGCCCAGCAAGGCTGACACACAGGCCTCAGATGCATCACAGATGGCTGTAAGGTCATGGCCACCTTCTAGAGCGAGGACAATGGCTCCACCAGCCAGGCTCATCAGCTGCTTTGTCATGTAGCCAAAACCTGGAGGAGGAGCCCAAGGAGGAGGTTTTCAGCCCCAAAACGCTGGTGTCCTGACCCTTGATGCTGACACAACCCCAAAGCTCTTCCCCAGCTCCCTGCTGGGGTCCCAGCCAGGGGAACACCCTGCCCGGAGCCTGTGGTGCTGCTTCCACCTCCTTACATTTAGCAGAGACTTTGTAGCCACCCAGGGGTGGCGGGTGGCCATCGGCTGCGTCGAAGCCAGCAGAGACCAGCACCACATCGGGTGAGAACTCGTGTGCAATCGGCATCACCACTGTCCTGTGGGTAAAGACAAGTCCGAGGGGTGAAGTGGTGGCTCAGCCTGATACAAGAGTGGGAGAGGAGATGGGCAGAGACACGAGGAACTACCTGAAAGCAGCCAGATACTCAGGGTCACCCATGGGGGGGTCGAGCCCCCCAGTCCAGGCCACGTTGACATTAAATCCCTCACCAGGGCCAGCACCAACCTGGCAGAGAACAAAGACAGCGGTGAAGGGTCTGACCCACCAGTGCCCTGTCCTCCTGGTTGTCACCTTGGCCACCAGCTCTGCCACCCGCAGTGCTCTGTACCTCATCAGCAGCCCCACTCCCAGGGAAGAAGTTGCCATCATCGTGGCGATGCAGAGAGATGTAGAGAACCTCAGGGTCTCTGTAGAAGATCTGCTGAGTCCCATTGCCGTGGTGAACGTCCTGGGGGGAGGAAAAGATTGGCAGAAGCTCCCCTTTTAAGCCTTAAGGGTGGCCCAAGAGCTTAAGGGAGCTAAAAGCAACTGGATCTCTGGCTGGGACCCCCATCCCCAGCATCTGCTCCTGCTTCCCCATCCTATGGGTGGTTCCCAGCCATGCTCCTGGCAGGAGGAGGTTTTGCTGCTCTCTGGTCCAGCTCCAAGCCAGAACTGGGAGGAGATGGAGACACCCACTCCCAGGGATGTGCTGGGGAGGAGCAGGGGACTGGGGGGACTCACCCAGTCCACAATGAGGATCTTGCTGAGCTTCCCTTTCTGCTGCAGCTGCCTCGCAGCAATGGCCACCGAGTTGAAGAAGCAGAATCCCCTGGGAAGAGGGAGTCGAGCTGGTTAATGCCTCCTGAGCATCCTGCCCTCCCGGCTCCCCAGAGGGTGGGATCACCCTCCCCTCTCTCCCTGGCCAGGAGATGGATGGGGCTCAGTCTGGAGCGACTCTGAGCCAGGGAGCTGGGTTTTGGGGCTTCCCAAGTGCCAGCCTTAAGCCCTGCAGCTTGGGAAGGGGCCCTTACATGGCAGTGGAAGGATCCGCGTGATGTCCTGGTGGCCTCACCACAGCAAAGCCATTCTGGGGACAAAACAAAGGCGAGGTGAGCAGAGCTGCTGCCCCAGTGTCACCCCCCCTCTACATGGCTGGTCCATGCAGGGACGGAGCCCACAGGGCTGTGAGCACCCAGTGAGAGCCCACAGCCCTGCTCTTGCCCAGCCATGGGCTGGTGGCACAGCTCTGGGACCTGCACATGAAGCCAACCTACCTTCAGCTCCCTGGTGGCTACCTTGAAGGCCAGCTCGGTGACACTGCCTGCAGCCCAGCGGGCAGCGTTGGAGGAGTGCAGCTCGTTCCAGATGGTGTCACTGTCCACCTAGAAGCAAGAGCATCAGTGAGATGGGAGGGGAGGAGAGCTCAGGACAAGACCATGGGCTCTGCCAGCTGCCCTGCTTGGGGCTAGGGGTTGAAGCTCTCTATAAGCTGAAGGGTTTGGTGGAGCTGGACCACGTCCGGGGCAAGCTCCGTTGGCAGCTCCTCTGGCTGCTGTCAGCCCCAGCTCAGCTCCACACAGAGCATCTCCCCCCGCACCCGGGGGCTGGAAGAAGTGACTGAGAAAACGCTCTTTACCTTCTTTATCTTATTGTATTGTTTAAGCAAACATGTTGGTTTGATCAGCATCACGTCAAGGGCTGAGCCAGAGCCGGAAAACCCAACGTCTCTTCTGATCAACGCCATGTGTGCAACTCAAAGGCTCCCCAATGCCCACGGAGAGCCCCTGCCTTCGGGGCACAGAGGGGAGCAGGGAGGGGGAGGCAGAGCAGGGAAAGTGGATGCAAACGGGGCTGAGAAGAGCTGGTGCCCAGCAGCGGGGGCAAGGAGAGGAGGAGAACCAGAAGAGGCAGCAGGAAGGCATGGAGTGAGACCCTTCCTGAAAGAGAGAGAAGGACAGAGACAGAGAGAGGAAGAGAGGAGACCGCAGTGAATGGAGAGAAACCAGGACAACAAGCTGTGAAAGGAGAGGCCATGGAAGTGCCTGGAGAGAAGTGGGGAGCTGCTGACCCCAGAACACTGCTCCCCTTCCTCAACGGAGACCACGGCTCGTGGCTTCCCCCAGCCATTCCCACCAGCTCAATCCCTTCTGACATCCCTGGCTCCTAGAAATGGCTGTGAGGGGCTTTTAGTTGCTGTGTCCTCCAGAGTAAGGAGGCACAAAGGATCCCCTCGCAGGGGTGGGATGCTTGGGACCATCCCGAGGACACAGGAAGCTCAGATACAATGAGCACAGATGGCGTGTTCCCACCTGAGGCTGCCCAAACCTCAGCAGCCCACTGGCTTTGGGAGGTCCCTCTCCACTCAAACCCCCAGAGGGGACAGAAGAACCCATCCAAACGCAGGCAGAGCAGACATGGAGCACTTACCCCCACCCCTCCGCAGGGCAGCATGACAAACATCCGCTGTGACAGGATCCCTGCACAGAGAGGGGACAGGGAGGGCTCAGGGCTGGGAACGGGAACGAGCCTTGACCGGGCTGGGAAGCAGCCTCCGGGGAAGCTGCCTGGTGCAGTCCCAGGGCTGAGGGTGCCCTGGGCAGGGATGCAGAGGGTGAGGGCACCGCTGTGCTGTGACGGGCACTCACCTGCCAGCTTCCCATTGTCCAGTTTGAGGCGGTTGAGGGGGTTGGTGCCGTAGAGGAAGACGTGGCGCTCGCTGTGGACACACTGCAGCTCCTCCAGCGTGGCCTTGCGTCCCCGCAGGCACTGAGGCACACAGGGGCTCTGAGCAAGCTGCTCCAGGAGGGAGATCCGGGCTCCCCCCTGCCCCGAGCACAGCAGCATCCGTGGTGTGGGACAGTGGGACAGCCCAGCTACAGCAGGGCGAGGCTTCCAGCAGAGTGGAACCCACACTGATGTTCCCAAAACACCCTGGTTCCATAGGGATCACCCCTCTCTCTACACCCATCGTCCAGCAGAGCACACTGCTGCTGCCATCTGAAGTCTTCATCAGGGATGGTAGCAATGGGACACGGGGTGATGGCTTTAAACTGGAACAGGGGAGGTTCAGGTTGGATACAAGGATGTTCTTCCCTGTGAGGGTGCTGAGACACTGGAACAGGTCGCCCAAGAAGTGGTGAATGCTCCATCCCTGGCAGTGTTCAAGGCCAGGTTGGATGGGGCTTGGGTGACATGATCTGGTGTGAGGTGTCCCTGCCCATGGCAGGGGGTTGGAACTAGGGCGGGGGGTTGGAACTGGATGATCTTAAGCTCCTTTCCAACCCAAACCATTCTATGATTCTATGGTCACACCAACATGCTCCAGCAACGGGCGAGACCAAGCCCTCTAGATACCAGTGGTGAACAGGCTGAGAAGGGGTGGGAGCAAAAGGGATGGGGGTGGGAGCAGGATACCCCATCACACCAGCATCCCCCCATGCCCGGTGGGCTCCAGCTCCCACCCTGGCACTCACCTCGCACTGGCTGCGCAGGCCCCGCTCCTGCAGACGGGACCAGATGCTCTGGATCCTGCCCGCGTGCTCCGGGTGGTTGCTGTTGTCACCACAGGAACACTGGTGTTTGAGCATCACCGAGTCATAAACCAGCCCTGCAAGGCACAAGGAGAGCTGCTGTCCCACTGCTGGGCTGGACACACCAGGCCTTGATGGTGCTGACCCGAATTCAGCTCCTTTTAGGGGCTGAACATCACCCAAAACACCCAAAACTACTTGGTTTGACTAAAATCTCCCTCAAACCTTGGGAGCCTCTGTCCCAATGTGCTTGAAGCAAATCCTGCTTTGAATGTGTAAGAGAGCTGAACCCTGCCAGAACTGCTGGACCAGGACAGCAGTCAAAAGGCCAGATGGGCAAGTCCTGCTTGGAAAAGCCACCTTAGATAAGGAGAAGGGGACCCTCGTGGCTTGTCTGCTCTTCCTGCAGCCGGCCAGAGCTCTCCCAAGTATCTATGAGGGTGGGAGTGAGCAGGACTGATGCTAAGCTGCCCCTGAGCATCCCCACCTCCCTTCCAGCTCCTCCCCGGTGGTGTCAGCCCCACGCAGGGGCTGGTTGTACCTGTTGTGAAGTGAGGCTTGGCTGGCTGCTCCTGCACGGGCAGGGAGAGGCTCTTGGAGGCCGTGTCCTGGGCAGGAAGGGAGATGGTGGCGGTGGCAGGAGATGACTGGGCCCTGGAGAGGGGCCTGTGCCCCGTATGGATGGTGGGGACCTTGGGGGGGTCAGCCAAGGGCTGGCGCTTGAGGAGCTGCTGCTGCACACGCTGGTAGGAATCCCACAGATAGGCCTGGTGGAGGGAGGTGGTGGTGAGCATCCAGAGCAAGGTACAACCAGAGAGCAGCATCACCCGGCCCTGGGAAGGGAGGCCTACGCTGTGCACCCTCCCTAGGTCTGGATACAGCAGCTCCCTCCATGCTGGAGGGGCTTGGAGAGGGTTTGCAGGAGCTGGGTCACGTCCTGCAGCATCTGGAGCTGCTGGAGAGAGTCCAGAGGAGGCCACGAGGATGAGCAGGGGATGGAGCAGCTCCCAAATGGAGCCAGGCTGAGAACACTGGGGGCGGAGAAGAGGAACTGGGGGGGACCTCACAGAGCAG